CCGGGGGAGGCTTTATTAAACACCACACTGCGTCTAATACGAGCGAAAAAACAGAGGGGTATGTGGAACAAACGGGGGAAATTATTCATTGTATATGTATGAACAAAACTATTCCTCTTTCAATTATCTAAAAAAATCCCGCGACGTTATTTGACACATTTGATTAATCCTTCCGTTTCTTTGCTTCCATTGGCCACAGCCTTATATACTATCGCCTCAATCCTTCCTAGAAAAATATTCCAACCAACACACAGTTCTCGAGATTATTACGCTCAAACAAACAAACCAACTCTACAGCTTCACAATACTATGAAGTCTGTAGTCTACGAAGGCGAACAGAATACTAATCTGTGGTAAACGCTAAGCGGCTTCTATTTTCATACTCAAATCACATGTTTATGTATGAAGGTGTCAAAACAGGGCACAGCAAATTGTTCGGGTTGTATGGGCATGGATTTGAATAGTCCCGATTCCAGCCGAGCCAGCGCTGATCTGATTGTTCCGGCCGCGATAGCCTTGTAAGAAGATTTATTGCAAACTGCGCTTATTGAATTTTAATGGTCATTATGTACCATTGTCCTGTTTCACAATTTTACAGCGCTCTGTGGGAATCCTTAAAGGTCGCGACGCGAATATCGCTTGATTAGATCGGTAGTGATTTTTTTTATGATAGAGGACTATTTTGGAATTGCATGTTCGGCGATCATCTGTTCTGTTCTGTCATCCTCTTTCGTGAAAATAACATCAGTAATGTTACCCGTTTTTGCTTTACCCTAATACACAGCGAGGTACATGTTTCTTTAATGATAGCGGAAGACAGACGAGCATGGGGTTCTCTCGATGCTAAGTGAAATACCTCGGCCTAATAACATCTAAATCCACTCAGTCTCCCAGTGACCACGGCTGCTGCAAAGCATCCTAAACGTCCGGCCGAAGTTAAAAATCGTTTTCAAATAAGTGTAACTAATATATCGCGTTTTAAACCGTTAAAGTGTTTTATTTAAATGGATTTTTTATTTGCGGACTTTCGCTATTCTTCCTACCCATTTAATATCCAGATTTGGAGATGAAGTCCAACATACAGATTGAAAAATAAGAAACATATTAGACCCAATGGACATCGAACCAACGACCCATTTATTATAAGCCATACATTGCTACCATAAGACCAACGAGGCCGTCAAACATCAAATACCCATTAAACGAAACGCACGTTAAACAGATAGATCATTGATTAATGTGTCATAGTTCCAATGTCACAGAGCAAGGCCTATTCCGTTATGCTATAAACTTAACCCAAGCAATACATTAGCTTAACAAAATAGTGCGGTAACGTACGCCGTAATTGTTCTATGGACTGACGCAGATCGGGGTTCAGGGGGCAACAACGATCCATAACTCATCTGGGAATATGTTATTTATATTAACGTAGATTCGGAATTAATGTGAACTAATTAAAGGTAATTATGGGTCTTATGACGTCCTATATCCCGAAATTAATATAGAAGCATAATTATTAACATACTTTATTTTGTTTCTTTATATCGAGACTTTTAGGCACTATAGCATCGCGCTGTGATCAATTTGAGCGAAGAAAAATGTGGAAATATTTATCATTGTGGGGTAGACGTTGCGTGCTCTGCGAAAACGGTCCAAGAAACCAAAAGATGTGTATAAAGCAATGATTTCTATATAAATGATCTAAAAATGACAGTATATGTCTATCTTTTAGATTAACTAAAAAGTAATAAAGAGAAATGAAAAATTGTAAAAAACTATGCTATTTCCTGAAGTCAGTGTACAGTTGAAAAGTACTGAAATACTGTCTATAGTTATGCGAGTAGTACACATTTAAATAACGGGGAGACAGTGACCCGTGACCACGGCTGCTGCAAAGCATCCGAAACGTCGGGCCGAAGTTAAAAATCATTTTCAAATAAGTTTAACTAACATATCGCGTTTTAAACCGTTAAAGTGTTTTATTCAAATAAGTACTAATTAGTAGTATGTTAAACAAAATTTTAAAATTTTAACACTCACGAAACATATGCTATTTGTATATTATATTTTTTTACTAATTAATGTAACAACGTGAATCCCAAACAGTTTTGAATACCCAATAAAACCGGCCGCATACCATACAATGTTCACGTTAAGAGCACGCCACCTCGTAATATGAAAATATTAGTACAATAATTCAAATGTAATTGGTAGTCGTTAGCACAGTAAGGTCATTCGCGCACACGTCTCAGACGGTTCGGGGTTATGGGTCGAACCCGTCGGGTCAATGTTATTGTCATGTAGATGTGACGTTCGATGCTTTTTATACGCCGCGTCGTCCTTGCCGTCTTGACACCGACTACTGTGCTTGGAATAATTCGTTTTTTTTTCTTAGCGCCCGATTCTCTATTTGAAAATATTTAAATTATTGTTTTTAAGGTGAAATAAAATGCACATCATTTCTAGGAAAGACAAGTATGGCGGTCGACGTGATTTCAAAATTCGAATCTTATAATATGTACACGAAATGCGCTGTCGTCTTATTTTGGCTTAAGTTATTCAGATATGTACGGACTGTAACCGAAACGCGACTAAACTTCACGGCTTTTTCATCTGTGGCTAGATCGTGACCCGGGCGAACTTTCGATTATCGTACCATCTCTTTTTACACCGAGTCTATATACTTTTTTGAAATAGATATTGGACCCGATGAGATTCGAACCATTGATTATTAGCCCGTAAGACTTAGCTTACACATAAAATATACCTACATAAATTTAGTAGATTAATTTAAAACGTTCCATTTCCAAGCCATTGTGGTTGCGTCCTTATTATATTTCTAACAGTTTTTCTCGTGGTCTTGCAGTAAGTGGGCATCATTAACTTGTTACCACGTCGACAGACAGACAAGACTTTCACGATGTCAACCCATATCTGAGGTAACGCGACAGCCGTAGGTTACCTGCAACATAGCTGTTTCTGGAAATAATACTGTATTCTTTAATTACGACTATTATATACTTTGTAATTAAGTACACATCAGGGTTTGACCTCAACCGGGTCCAAAATGTTTTAAAATCTAATATTTCATTTTAAACACCCTTCGTTTGGAAATCTGCATGTTAAATGTGGTAGGAATATTAAAATTCCTCTTCCGTCACAGACCACTGTCTACAGATGACAAAGCAATGAAATTGAACCATGTATTGGTTTCAGTCTGTGGACTCCTTAATATCCAAAGCCCAAATAGATCGACAGCACATCTTGTTGGGATTAACATCTCTTCAAGGACTGGGGTAAATCACCTACTGTCAAATGAGCTCTATTCTTCTCTATCATATAAAAAGTATTACCGCCTCAGTAGCTCAATGGTTCGTTCGTAAACTCGATCGGGTCACCATACTACCAACTACTTGCCTGTAAGTAGAATTGATGAGAGATACTGAAATAGATATTTGTTTATTCCATGCTCCATAGTGGAGACAAGTTTTTTACAAACTTAAATAAGTGTAAGTTTGATCTCTAGTTAATTCTTAAAAGTAAATATGTGCGACTAGAATCTGTATTAATTTATTTCTATCTGTATTATTACTAAACTGATATAGTACATCAAACAAATAAAACTCTCATTACTCTACACTACAGCTACGTAAAAAATATATGTATTTTTATGTTCTTAATTTCTATAGGAAATATAATTGTGCTGTCTTAATATGCGCCAATATTATCGTGATTTATAATGCTTCCACCAATTAAGTCTACTTAAGATTTTTTATTAGATTATAAGTTCTATTTTCTTTCTGTATGTATAGGAAATGGTTCGGAAGTACACGTCTGTTGCGGTCATGAGAACTGATGCTATCTCACTCGCTCCGGACACGTCACAGATCAAACGATAATCCTCGACATTAAGTCACAGATAATACCATTTTTGTACGCACGCGTTTCAGGAGGGTAAGGTTTTTTTTTGATAAAAATAAACACATAAACAGTGAAGACGAAAAAATGAAAAAAAAAAGTATTGAAGGAAATTCAGTCTGTATTTATCTACAAAAATGTTGTTGAATATTATAGAGGTTCTAATTCCTTCGGAATTAAGTACCTTATATCTTATTTATTTTCAAACGCCCGCGCCGGTGAAACGATTCACACACACACAGTCACACAGAAAATCTTTTTACGTTTATTATTTCTATTTATAGTATTATTTTTGCAATTTTAATGCAAGCCAGACGTTGGTCTAATTGTAGCAATGTATAGTAATCAACGGCTCGTGGATTCGATTCCCGGGACCAACATGTTTATAATATTTTAATTCATATTTTTTTCCGAGACATATGTCATGAGTTTTAGAATAGACTTGTTATGTTTTAATAACGTCACGGATTTTTATAACTAGCTGAATTTGCTGCATTCGGTTAAGTAGAATATAAAAGAAATATGTAAGTTTTAAAATATAGTTCAAATCGTGTCACACAACAATAGCTAGACCCAAGAATGGACTTCTTTCATACAATTCTCGTCATACTTTCTTTGAAATTGTTATAAATTTTAAATGACTTCCAATTAAACGCGTCTCTTAAAAGAAAAATAGACTTCATTTTGTCAATATAACAAGTTTATGAATACTTAATCGAGTCCTTATCATTAAGGAAACAAAAGTCTGGCTTAAAAAATTCTTTTTTTTTAGTTTTATTTAGGCCAAACCAATTTGGTTTTCGCATTGTTGTTATATATAGTGTAAAATATTAAAAAATGTTTTTTACTGTTAATCAACTAAGTATATTAATATGTTGTATCAATATACGTACGAAAATAGTAAGAAATAATAATGCATTAATTTTTCTTAAATTCTAAAGGAATTCTCAAAGAACTGCTAGTGTTTTACATTAACAAAATGGTATATATAAATGATAATTATTTTAAATTCAACTGTACGTAGTTATAAAGAATATTTGCAATTCTAATAATTTTTACAAAGATATATCCTTTTAATTAAAATGGCGCTAATTTTTTTTTCTTCGTTCTCCTCACTTCTCTTCCCGACTGTACTGTCGAAAGAGATGACCATCGGCGCGACCATCGCTGACCCGACGGTCATTTATAAACACGAGCATGGGAACCAGCTGATAGCACATCGCACGTACTTTGCGATTAGAATATCAACGTTTTCGCCCGCAATTAAGATCCGTCGTGCTCGGCTAATGAATTCTATATTGACATGTCATGATGGTCCAAGGATGTTTTTCCTTCAAGATAAGAATTGCGATGTCTTCACATCTAGACACTCGGCTTAATCAAGCCTAGTTCAAGTAAAGGGACGAGCCCCTTATAGCTCGAAGATTAAATACTGTTTATAGTTTACGCGAGTAGTACACATTTAAATAAAACACTTTAACGGTTTAAAACGAAGTTAAAAATAATTAACTAATATATCCGCTTTGAAACCGTTAAAGTGTTTTATTAATTAAAGCTCGAAGATTATTTTTTAAATGTGTTTAATTTGAAGCAATGTATAGCAAGTAACTAATCGTGGGTTCGATTCTCAACTAAGCGATAAGTGAAACCGTTAAAGTGTTTTATTAATTAAAGCTCGAAGATTATTTTTTAAATGTGTTTAATTTGAAGCAATGTATAGCAAGTAACTAATCGTGGGTTCGATTCTCAACTAAGCGATAAGTCTTCAGTACGGGCGGTAGTTGTAGTTCCCTTGGTGTCTTTTCGTATAGTGGTAGGAATATCGAAATTCAGTTTTGGTCACAAACCACCATCCGTAGATTAAAAGCGGTCTAGTTTAATTGCGCTTTTTCAGTCTGTGGATTTCTGAATATCAAAGGCCGAAATAGGCCTACAGAGCATATGACATCTGACTTATTCAGGTTTTGGTGTCTGCCTTAATTAAAACACTTTTATCGGTTATAAACACGAGATGTTGGAATTAAACTTATTTACAGTTTATTTTAACTACAACCCGACGTTAAAAATGTTTAATTTAAATAGATACTTACAACTGTTCTGTTGCAAAGCATTACAAACATCGGGCCGTGATTTAAAATAAGTCAACCAAATATTTTTCGTATTTTAAACCGTTAAAATAGTTTTAAATGAAAAACAAATCTATTCTATAGCTATAAATGTGACCGCTAGAGGCAGTTTTATGACTTGAGTTATTTAAATTTTTATACACTAAAAATGTTAATCTGTGATCGAAAATTGTTAACATAATTCTGACACAAAAAATAGTACGAATCGATTCTGCTTAAATTGCGCCCTTTTTTATTTTCCTCCTTATAAAATCATGTTTTTTGTTATTAGGCCATTCTGTCTCTAACAGTCTCTAGAGTACTACAATACATTGTATAGACAGCCTTAGTATTGAAGCCTTCCAGTTTCAATGCAGTAGTGGGCGTCATTTTGAAATAAAAGTCAAGTTCGGTTTTTGTAACATCGGCGTTGAGTTGCATAAATTATTATTGTTTATCCATTTCGCTTATTGTTTTAAACTTGAGCAATAAGATGCTTCATTCTGAATTAATTTTCGTGCGTGAGTAGGTCATTTGAAAACATTATTATTTTTAAGAGGTTTTGTGTGTCGTCCATTTATTACCCAATGTTGAGTTAAAATTTGTGTTCTAGTAACTCTATTGATGCAAATGTTGCTTGGAACAAATTACTTCACAGCGATAAGTCTACCATAAGAGCGGTAGTTATAGATTCTTATTGTGTCTATTAGTATAATGTCTCAGTGTTCTCGACGGTCTCGTTGATGTAATGGAAGCAATGTAATAATAATTAACGGGACGTGGGTTCAACCTCCACCGCGTCCAGAATTTTTCTAATAAATTTATATTTCTAAATAAAACACTTTAACGGTTTAAAACGCGATATATTAGTTAAACTTATTTGAAAATGATTTTTAACTTCGGCCCGACGTTTCGGATGCTTTTCATCATTTTCAAATAAGTTTAACTAATATATCGCGTTTTAAACCGTTGAAGTGTTTTATTTCAATCTGTACTACTCGCGTAAACTATAGACAGTATTTAAATTTATATTTTTCTAAAACATATTGCACTTCATCTGGAAGTTAAATGGCTGGTTGGAATTAGTGGGTTTCTTTATACCCAAAGCGAATATAGGTTGACGGCGTACCTTGCTAAGCCGTTATTTGGCTGTTATATTCTTCTTCTTCCCTATATGTTCCCTAGTGCTGTAACTTTATTATTATTATTACAAAAAAGCAGTTTGTCATTTTTGAACCGGAATACCGATAGAGAGCAAAAAGTAAACATAAAATATGTACCAACTTCGCTTGATTATAAAGTAAATCTTATATTTAAAATTCATGTTTCACAACCAAATCCCGAACTATTAGATCGATCGATAAATGATCAATATGCAATCATGTTCTGTAGTGTGAACACCATGGGCGTACAATGGCGGAGTGGTGTGCGAAGTGCGCCCACGCATGTAATTCTATTGCCCGCTGATTAACTTGTAAGTGTAGGACGAATGCTATTGTTGGGATTTGTAAAAAGATCCTTCGAAAGCTTTACAGCTTTTACAAATATAAACAGCCTTAACTTAAGTCTTAGCTTAGTTTGCCCAGCTTACTTGCCACTAACTGGCGATAGCTCTTGATGATGTCATCAGCTCGTGATAGCGAATATACGTAATCCGTTACAACAACTTAGTTGGTCGTTGTATACTGTGCCAGCCATGTGAATTAAAAATCGCTTTTAGATTGAAAAATTTTACGCCATACCCGGGACATGAACCAGCGTTTAGCGAGCTATTGCTCGAACGAATTGAGCTATCGTATTTTACACGTCATCGTTGATTTTTTTCAATCTATTGACCTCTTACACAATGTAATCTGAACCTTAACTGATGCGCATTGAAATTCAATGTCGTATGCTGTTTGATAACTTTAATATTGCACATGCTTGCAGGCTATTTAAATTATCTGGGAAGGACTTGAGCCTGCATCCACAGCGTTCCGTACTACTGTTTTAACCAATTGAGCTACCGTGACACCGTTAAGCTATATCGCATCCATGCATCTATAAGATCTGTTTATTTTTAATATGTCTATTGAGTGAAATTTCACCTTCCTTACCATCGAAGTTGAATTGATGACTATCGTCCGTTAACTATTACCAGCGTCTAATAAATTAAAGTGACCAGCAGATAAACAGATGAAATAATTGTGCGCAGTTAATTCTATCTTTAGCGTCTAATCGAGATTCTATCTTTATTTATAACTACTTAAATATATTTGATACACTTTTAGAGGTTTAACTTTGAGTGAACGAGGATATACTATGTAATAATACTGTTTGATAGTACATTTTTAAATTTGACTTTTGTAGAATGGAGTTTGTACACTAACTACATAATAAAACTAAATACGGAATCGCGGCAGTTAGAATAAATAAGATATATGTAACTAATTTTTTCGTTTAAACATATAAACTAGACTCGCAACTGCTTAATTTAGGTATTATCAAACATAATTACTATATAGTTTAGGTATACTCGTATTAATTCACAGGTTCTCTTTAAAGTGTATATTATATTTAATTTAAACCGTTATTTTTGTAAATTTAGACGCTAAACAACCGTTAATCAAACCGGTAGTAATTACGGTCAGCGCCGATGCTATATCCTTTTATGCATCTTCGAATTCTACACTCTACTATCTACAATCTAAACAGTTTTAAACTAGTTATTTTCCTGTTAAACTTCATAAAATAATACCGTTAATCGCTTAATTAACACGCGTCTAAATCAAAGCGTGTGAACCGTATACAGGGTGTTCGTTCGACATGGGAAGGGCAGATAGTGTATGTATAGGCTGGGCAATGAATTAATAGTCGCTATCTTCATTGCGGACCGTTCCTGCTAGCTACACACATTAGCGAGATCCAGTCACGAATAGAGCGATATATTTATAGAGTTGTTAATTATTTAAAAATTAATTAATATAGCCTCGGGGCTCTTATAGAAGGGCTTATAAGAAGGCTCCTGTACGGGTTGTATCCTAAATATAGTTCGTTGAGATCACTTTTAGTGATAATAACCGGGATGGGGTAACCTTAATATGATGTCAAAACCAACCAAATCAAAAAAAAAGAAGTAAAAAATAAAAAACTTGGATTTTGCTACTTATTTTGATTAAAAGTTTGGCGTGCCTTAAGATTTAAATAAAAACACTTTAACGGTTTAAAACGCGATATATTAGTTAAACTTATTTGAAAATGCGTCACGTCTCCCCGTGACCACGGCTGCTGCAAAGCATCCCGAAACGTCGGGCCGAAGTTAAAAATCTTTTTCAAATAAGGTTTAACTAATATATTGCGTTTTTAAACCGTTAAAGTTTTTTATTTAAATGTGTACTACTCGCGTAAACTATAGACAGTATGTACTTTAAGATGTTTCCTACACATATTGGAAACCTTTAGTTATTGTTGGACCTGATTGCTGGATTATAAAACAACCTTAACAAAACAAAACTTGTGTAAACTTCAGTTTTGTAGTCTTTAATACTTAAACGTGTTTCATTTATTTTGTTCCACCCACGTAAATGCTTTACTACGTTATTACGTTGTAGCAGCTCTATAGATATATCGCATACATTATCCATTAAACGCTGGTATACAATTCATGATTGTCGATGAAACGCGCGCGCAATTTTCAGGTTATAAATAAAATGGCTTCAATTACAGCTAAACTGTAGTTTAGCGCGGTTTTTCAATTATATGCTGAGTGCGATCTTGCTTTCACATTTGCGTTTCATCTTTATATCTATCGGTCGATTCTCAAGTTAGCGATATCATCCACATCGTTCGATATTTTAAAAGTAATTAATAATTATGATATATTTTAAATTTTATATCTAGTTTATAATGTATATTTAGTTTATAAAATATATTCATTGTATTGCATTTAAGTTTTTAGACGGGTTGGTCAACGGGTAGTCGATCTCCATCGGGTCTAAGATGTTTCTCAACATTTTTTTTTAAATGTTGGACTTGATTTACAGTGCTTATTCGTATGGCTGCAGTATTTCTTCTTCCATCAAGTGAACTTCAGTCTTATCTATACTAATCTATCATAAAAAAATATTTATGGTATCTAAACATTTTTACGAATTTGATTTTTTTTACATTACTGTGTATACATCTTGTGTTGGATACACACATAGTAATGTAAAAAAAAATATTTAAATAACTACATTCTGATAACAATTCCCACGGTAGAGTTTTCCTGAGATGCGAACCCAGGCTTTCTAGGC